GGATTTCGGGTTTAGGGTGTAGGGCTTAGGGTCCAGGGTTTAGGGTTTAGGGTTTAGGGTTTAGGGTGTAGGGTTTAGGGTTTAGGGTTTAAGGGCTTAGGGTTTAGGGTTTAGGGGCTAGGGTTTTAGGGGTCTTTGGTGGCTGCAGGCCCGGAGGCTCGCAGGCCCAAAACGTCGCCTGCCGGCTTTCCTGCCCCCGACCCTAAACCCTAAGCCCTAAACCTTAAGCCCTAAACCCTAAACCTTAAGCCCTAAACCCTAAACCCTAAGCCCTAAACCCGACACCCTAAGCCCTAAGCCCTAAACCCTAAACTCTAAACCCTAAACCCTAAATCCTTATAAACCCTAAACCCTAAACCCTAAGCCTTTGGCGCTGAGGTATCTTACGCACAGCGTCTACGGATCCGTCAGACCTGGGTTCCTCCAGTCGCTCCTCACGCTTGTCGGTGGCTGGGTTCTTGTTCAGGGTTTCGAGTTTAAGGGTTTTTGCAGAGTAAGGAAAGAGTGCTAATTTTTTTTGTATGTCCTTTTGCCATAACTTCTCTAACTTAGTTTAACTTCCTTAGCAAAATCCTAAACCCTAAGCCGCCTGAGCCCTAAATTGTGAAGGTGGCTTTGTGGTGAGTACCTTGGTAATCTTCTTGGGCGTTGCTGCGTTGGGAGCGCTCGAAGCGGTGGTCTTGACACGCTCTCTCAGGCACGCCACAAGAAAAGTTAAGAGTACCTAAAGGATCAAGGGACTTCGTAAGTAAGGTTCCATGCAAGGTAACTGAAACTTTTTGGATATACCCCCCAACTAAGGTACTTCTGAACTTAGTTACCGCATTCCTTTATCCTCCAAGTGAGTGCAAAAGCAGAGGCAGAGGAGGACACTCAGAAGGAGTAGGAGCATCCTGAATTACAGGAAGTAGGAGAAGGTCCAGGAGCACGAGAAAGAACAAGAGACAGCAACAAATCGTCGTGGTGTAGTGGGATGGAGGAGTAGAAGAGATACGTCCAAGCAAGAAGGACGGCTTGTGGCTACGAGCGAGAAAGTCATGCACAGAGACTGCTAATAGCTATTGGCGTTAACAATGTTGACCATCACGCTTCGGGTCGACAGAGATTTGTAGCTGCCCTTGGGACCATGACATTTGGCGCTGAAGGTGGTTGGTGGTGTTTCTCTTTCTCATGGGCCTCATTCTGGCAAACTTCTGCTTTCACTTCTGGCATGCTGATATGATACGCATCTTGCGTCGTTGTAAATCCCTCTTGGGACTCCAAGCTTAAGACGACCTTGCACGCCCTGCCGGGCGGTTTCCATCATCACTTCATCTCTACGGGCACAGCAGAAATGGAGGGTTCCGGGCTTTTGGGGCTCTCAAGTGTTTTCAGGCTTTAGGGGTCTAGACTGTTTTGGGTTTGGTGTCAAACGTTTGGGGGGGGGGGGGGGGGGGGCCTGTCTAGGTTTGGGAGTTTAGAGATCACGGTTGAGGGATTCAGGGTTTAGCGTTTAGGGTGTAAGGCTCAGGGTTCAGCCGTTCGGTTGTTGAATCCTTTGTTCCAGTTTCCCGAGACGGAACATGGATGGCGGGGCAGTTCTGAAGATTTCATGTTTAATGGTAATCATGACCCTCCCTGAAGCTCAAGCTCTAAACCCTAGACCCAACATACCAAGCCCTGAACCGAATATACCCTGGATTGTGTATATGAGGGTACACAAAGTATGCAGGAAGCCACCGTCTTGGGGTCAGAGCGGTGTAAGTACAGGACTGTCGGGTTGCAGGACAGGAAGGCTCAAAGCTTGTGGTTCAGAGGTTTAGGATTTAGGGTGGGTGTTGATGAGCAATACCCTGCATCAGCTTGGTACCCCAAGCTGTAGGAATTACCACTAAACCCTAAACCCTATACTCTTCAGGTTTGTTCCTTTTTTGCGGAGACTGCAGGATTTTCCCATCAGAAGTATTGTAGCTCAGGAGCTGGTTTCAAGACGGGCAGCATAGCTTTCCTACCCATAATTTAGAAGCCTGAACGAACACTATTCCCTAGGGTTCTTTACTTCACGAGTTTTGCTGAACTGCAGTGTAACCCTACACTGTATTGACTCTAGTGTGATTGTTTTGCTGCCTCTACATTTTAGCTTTATGCGACAAAGTGGACCTTTTCGGCTCGGTAATTTTCAGTTTTACTTCAATGGAGAGTCAGATGGCAACGTGGTACGGTGACAGACTTTTTACATGAGCTTGTGCCGTTTGTGAGATGACAACCAACAGCGCAGTCTAGAGTCTAGAGCATGATGGTGATGTGGGACTCTCTGTTCCGGCCGATGTGCAAGAGCCAGCTGAATGCCAGGCAGGTGCTGGATGTGTGCTAAAGGAGATGTTAGCGTTGGGCTCATCAGGTTCTACTCGTAACGCTCAGTCTGCGAGTACAGGATGAAGGGCTTGAAGATGCAGTGCAGTTGCTGTGCACTAAGCAATCCACTCTCGAGTAGACTCTAGAACTGCAGAGGGGAGGAACAGGGCAGCCCTAGCTAGAATGTGGGCCAGATCCTGTACATTCTGGTGTTGCTAAGCCACACCTTGTTTGGAGTTGTCTTCGGGATGCTTCTCGTAGTGCAAGTTGCATTTGTGGTGACGCTGCACCCTAGACCTTAGATCCAGAAAGCGCAATCAAGAAAGGGACGGACTCACAGAAAGCCCACATGCATTGCTGCTTGTCTCCTCACTGCTCCGGCAGCACAGCCTCACAGAAAGCCCACTGCTCCTTCCGGCACCCGCCAGGACGGCCTTACAGAAAGCTCACCTCACAGAAAGCCCAACCAGAAAGGGACAGACTCACAGAAAGCACACATGCATTGTTGCTTGTCTCTCACAGTTCCTGCCAGCACAGCCTCACAGAAAGCCCGGCACCTGCCAGGACAGCCTTACAGAAAGCCCACATGAGAACCAGCCAGCACAGCCTCACAGCAAGCCCAACTCAGCAAGGGAGAGACTCGCAGAAAGCCGACATGCAGTGCTGCTTTCGATTCAGCCTGGGCCCTGTTGAAGATAACCACCATCGTCGGCGATGCCAAAGCCCCTGCTGGGATGCTTTAGAAGACTTTTGCACTAAACCTTACAATGCTTGAACTCAGGGTGGTCTTGGGGTGGGTTGTCTGCTACGCACAGGTGCGAGCCGCCTCGGTGTGCACACACCAGCGAGCACCCATGCCGTTACCACACCCTAAACCCTAATCCCCGGGCCCAAAACCAAACCCTAAGCCCTAAACCCTAAGCCCTAAAACCTAAACCCTAAACCTATGACCTTGCTGCCCAAGCCGCGCCCAGGCGAACCGCCCGAGATCTTTTTAGTGCAACATCCCAATGGGGCCCTCGCTCAGGCATCTGAACTTTTGTTGGTGTTTACGGTTTAGGGTTTAAGGTTTAGGGTTTTGGGGTAGTAGTATAGCATTAGTATAGTATTATGATAGGAATAGTGTGGATAGTATCTTGGGGGTAGAAGTACTCTATAGTTGGGTTTATAGGCACAGGTAAGTGTATCACTTTGTTTTAAGCCCCACTTGGCAAGTTCCCTGATCCTTCGAGTTTAGCATTTCAAGTCTAGGATGTAGGGCTACGTGTAGGGCTTAAGTTTTAGGGTTTAGGGTTTCGGGTCGCCGGAGGGTTCAGAGAGGTGCAGCGCTGATGATTTTGATTTGTTGGTTTTGGGATTTGTGATTCTTTTCTGGGTTTGACGGTGCAGGTTTTTCGGTTTTCGGGCTCAGGGCATCAGGCGTGAGGTTCAGGCTTCTGGGGCGTACCGTTCATGTAAGGTTTGTCTTTGATGGAGTTGTGTTCTCGCAGATTTTGGGGCAACCGCGGTTTGCTCAGGCCCCTTGCGGAAAAGACGGTTTTGTGCGCAACTTACAGCCTCAAAGGCTCCAAGTATGAAGCGCGAGTCGTAGAGTGCTGCGAAATTTCCCCCCAATCGCGGATCCCAAGCCTACCTTCAACAACCAACAGCGCCCCAGGTTGAAAAAAGGTCCCTGAACCCTAGACCCTAATTTCCCCTTAAGCTACAGCCTAGACGCCCTAAGCCAAATTCCTCAAATCCCACAGGCCCCAAGCCCTAAATCCACTCAGCCCCAGAACCTTGGGAAAACCCTTGGCGAGCCAAAAAGTCGCCACGTCCCTGCAGGCTTGCTTGCCCGACTACATCGCCACCCCTCCGCCGGAAACTCCACCTGAGCTGGCCGGCGCCCTAGCCCCCCCCTTAAGGCCGCAGAAGCTGACAAAACCCTCAACCGGGGTGCAGGGCTTAGGGTTTAGGGGCCCAGAAGTTGGCTGAACTGAGCGTCTGTCGAGTTTTCGGAGCCTCGAGGACTTCAAAGGATGCAATGCTAGTATTGCTAGTGAGATGACTTTGCTCACCAGCAATGCACACTGTAGGCTGAGAGGCAGGAGGAGTAGGAGGATCCTACCATCAAGAACTCTGCGTGGCCCACCATGGCCCACCCCAGACTCAACCCTATACCCTGAACCCTATACCCTGGCCCCCTAAACCCTACACCCTAAAACCCAAGCCTTGAACCCTAAACCCTAAACCCTGCACCCTAAGCCCTGAACCCTAAGCCCAAAGAGCCGACACAAAAAAGTTGGAGGCCTTTAACATTCAGAGCCAAGCTTCCCCACTACAAAAACCCTAAACCCCAAACCCTAAACCCTAAAGCCTAAACCCTAAACCCTAAGCATAGGCTGCTTCTGCAGCCCTTCGGGATGCTTGGCGCCAGTCGGAAGAGGCAAGCGAGGCCTTTCCCGGACCAGAGTAGGGGAGAAGGTTTGGGGTTTAGGGTTTAGGGTTTAGGGTTCTGGGTTTAGGGTTTTGGGTTTGGGGTTTGGGGTTTAGGGTTTAGGGTTTGGCGCGTTTGGGGTTTAGGGTTTAGGGTTTGGGGTTTAGGGTTCCGGAGGTTTAAGATCCAGGCAGGGAGGTCGGGATTAGGGTCCAAAGTGCCGCTTTTGGGGTTCGGGGGTTTGAGATTCGGGGTTTAGGGTTTGACTTGACGGTTTGCTGAGTTTCCTGGCCGTCGCAGGAGTCCCCCAAAAGGCTTGGTCGGTACAAACAGGGTTCGGGGCTTGCTTGAAGGTTCATGGCATGGGAAGTTCCTAAACGCTAAACCCTACAGTAAACACTAAAACCTAAACCTGAGAAGTATACTTGCAGGTTCATGGGTAGTTATAAGTAGGGTTCTAAGTAGGGTAACTATAGTTATAACCTACATTAGGGGACTTATAGCTCCA